TTGAGACAGGGTCTCACTGTGTAGTTGAGACTGACCTAGAACTCACTATGTAGCCCAGGCTGGTCTCAAACTCACAGCGATCCTCCAGCCTCAGACTTCTGAGTGCTGGAATTACAGCATGAGCCACAACACCCAGTATAGTAGCTTTTATTGTATATTGGACATTATGAATTCTATACTGTTCTATATTGTTTAATTTACTTACTAATTAAATTGATCCATTTGAGACCCATTTTTAAATTTTGTTGAGGTGAGGATATTCTTTTCTCAAGGACTAGGTAATGTCCATTTTTAAATCTTGGATTTTTCTGGGTTTTTTTTTTTCTTTTTTTGGTAAAATTCAGAGTCTTCAATCAGGATTTCTAACTCCAATGGCAACTCTAATATCTCCCAGCCTATATAGTTTCCAATAGTTATTTGACTTACAGCTTTTTGGTAATTATTCCTTGCCCAGCTGTTTTTTTCCCCACAGTGTTGTACATACTTGCTTCGTGCAAGCTTAGTAAGTCACAAAGACTCCAGGGGACTCCTCTGCTGATTTCTGCAATTCTTCTCAACACTGCTCTCTATTGCGGGTGACCTGTCTGGAAAATTCTAGCTTATGTAGCAACCCAAAATTGCAAACACGTCTCCACTGCTCTGAGAGTCTGTTGTGCTGTAATAGGGTTCCTGTCTGAGCCACAGACCAAAAATTGCCTTGAAACGAAGCAAGAGCAATTGTAGGGTTTGCCTTGTTGGTCTCTCTTCTCTGAGATATTATGGTCCCCTGCTATTATCTAATAGCAGAAAACCATTTGTACATATTTTATCCAATTTTAATGTTATTTATGTCAGGATTGTAGTATATTACTGGTTTTCCCTATATGAATAGAAGGAGGAGCTTCTCTACACTGACCACCTTTTTATATGCTTACTGACTACATATCTATCACTGTTTTGAAGTTTTTGTTCAACTATCTTTACATTTTTTCATCTTTTTCTTATTTATTTGCAAGAGTTCTTTATACACTCTAGATATTTAATTTTTTTACCTCGATTGGTTTATTGTACACATTCTCTTCAAATGTGTGATTGACCTTTTAACTTTCTTATTTGGAAGTCAACTTGTACAGTAAGAAAAAGTCAGTTGCCCAGTTTTTAGATCTCACATAGGTTTATTTAGGGGAGAGGATTGCTTTGTTTTAGAATGTGTTGACTGAAAAAAGGCTGCGAGCCCAGAAAAAGAGATTCACAGCAAATATACATGATAATGATTAACCTGGTTCTTCTTCCAGATAGACTTAACGTCTTTTGCTCAGGTAATTAAACACTGGAGGAAAATAAGCCCCCAAACATTTTGAGAATTCTTAGCCATGCACTGATACCAGGAGATTCACAGTGTCGTCATGCTCCCTTCGCACCTTCTGTTTATACTGGCAGGAGTGGACAACCATGAAATAAATGGCCTGTCTCAGAGTCGGTCCATTGGGAAATAGATTTGGAAGCTGAGTATCCCCCCAACCACCTGACCAAGGGTACAGCAGCAGGACAATAAAAGACAAGATCCTTACTGCATAAAAGGGGCTCAGGATGGCCAAACCTCTTAGCAAGCTAAGACACTGTCTCCTGGAGTTTGCTACTATTTATTGAACACCCAGCTTCTTGAAGGGGTTAGGGGCAATCCAGGGAACAGTGGAGTGGAGAGCACTGAGGAGAGCAGGGTCCTAGCAACAAGGGAGCAAAACATTCTAGCAGGAACAGAATATTGATTAATGGGAAATCCTTTTTTCCCATAGATTAATTTTTGCTTCTATAGAAGTTTTGTGTACATGTCACGCTGCCCGTAGCTGCATTATTGTCTTACCATCCAAGGCATCACAGTGTCACGGATCTTTGAGACCTCTGCTGTGACCAGTGGCGTGGAGAGTTGTTCTCTTCCTACACACCAGCTGCTGGCTCTTCAGGCAGCCACTGTGGGCTTCTAGGGAGACTCAGACTTTTAATCTGAAAAGCCAGTTTATGAATTTGTAGCTTGCCTGGGTGGTCTCTATCAACAGATGTACCTTGTGATCATTTCTCCAGGTCCCTAATATAAATTTAAATAGAAATGCTTGGTGGTCAGATTTATTGTTCAGTTTCACCATTGCTGGGACAAAATACCTGGCATCCACCACTTAAAGGAGGAGAGGTTTATTTTACCTCAGTTTGAGAGTTTTCAGTCCATCTGAGTCAGAGCATCATGGCAGAAGGACACAGTAAAGTAAAGGTACTTTATGGCATCTGGAAAACTACACAAGAGGGAAGGTGCTAGGAGCCAGACATAGTGTGCAAGCACATAGTCCCATGATCCACGTCCTCCAACTAGGCTCCAGCACCTAACAGTCCATTCCACCATGAGCACCTCAATGAGCAACCCACTGATGAGCTCAATACCTGCACAATTCAGTCAGCTCTCCAGGAGTCAAGCTGAAATCAAGGTTAACCAGAATATCAGTACAATCTTCATGGTGGCTATTTGACCTGTAAGTTATGTCATAATAGATAACTCCAAATGGAAGCATCTAAAACTCTTTCCTGAAGCCAAGATAATAAATATTTCATCAGAGGGATGAGAAGGATGACAGCAATTCGCCCTTCTCTTAGGTGCTACTTCTTACTATATCTATGTAATTCTATACTCTGGTCTATGCAGAAACTAGAATAACTGCAGACTACAGAAAGCTCAGCTAATGAATAGCCTTACCTACTGCTGCCGTGTAGAATTTCACATTTTGCTAGAGCCAATTAATATGGTCTGTGGCATTTGCAGTCATCCTGTAGGAAAAAAGGATCAAAAGCAATGAATGTTGCCATGGAATAGTAAACAGTACACATTTATGGTTTTGACCTTGTCCTAAATTAACTTGCCTGGTCTGCTCATGCTATCACCACAGGGATCTTGATCACTTGGCATCCCAATGGAACATCTCAGGCGTGTGACATGCTGCCATTAAAACTTGAACAGCCTTTTGGGATTTGTTGCCTTTTTCATGGTGGGAAATACACAGTGTAATAATTTGTCTTTAACTTGCATAGCATATGCCAGAAAGTCCCTAACCATTAAGCTTTAGAAATCTTCTATGTATGTGTCAAGCCTCTAAATTTCTGCAAAGCATGTCCTTCTGATATCTGAATTGCACGCGTTTTGCCAAGTCCTTCAGTGCACTAGCTACTTCTTGCTTATCTGGCCTAATTAGCATGACGGCTTTGGCTTAGTCTGCTCTATGTGGCACAAAGGGCAGGACTTCTTGCACCTCAGCATGAATTTACTACAGAATCTCCTCCTGTGGGACTAGCTGGAAACTGACAGTCAGCCACGAGGGCCCACCGCAGACTATCACATTGATTAACTACATAGATGATGTCATTCTAAATCAGGTCAAGTAGACCCAGCAACAATTAAATTCACTGTAAGCTGAAATGATGCATCTATATTGAGCACTAGCACAAACAAGATGAAGAAACCACAGCCCAAACTCCTTGTGACCCCACACTGTTGCACCAGCATCCTTGTTTCAGCTCACATCTAAAGTATATAGAGAATCTGTTATGACCACCTAGTGGAGAAAGAAATTCTTGAGTTTTTAAAGATTACTCAGGCTGGTACTTGGATGCAAGCACAAAATAGACTGTGATTTAAAGGCTTCATTGATGTGACTTCGGAAAACAAGGATAAGAGGATAATTCTTCTAAAATACAGTAGACATCTCATCTATTTTGCTGGACAGAGAACTTACCCATGGTTAAATGATCTTTGGAGAGTGTGTCACAGACAATGAAGAATGGCATAGCTGGTTGGGAAGGACAAAGGCTGAAAGACTGAAGACAAAAATCTCGGGCAGATGCATGTAATGTGCACTTGGGAATGGGAAAAACTGAATTCATATTTAATTCACAGAGAGGCAATAAGGAGATACTCATTCTTGTGTACGAATGCTGTATAAGAACAACCCAAGAATGAGTCCCTTAAATATTTTTCCCTGGAAACCTGTTATCTCACTCTAGCCAGTAGGTATCAGTCAGGTTCTTTCATTATCTCAGTGAATGCATTAGCCATGGAGCTATAAAAACATGCCCCCCCACCGTTTACCAAGGCCGATGTAGTTACTACGACTGTATTTCTAACTTGTGGAGATAACCTCCTAGTAGGACAGTTTCTAAAGTACACCAATTGACCATTGGTGGCAGGGTGACTACACTGAGTTGCCATCAGATTGGAAGTGCCCGTGATTCATTCTATTCAGCAGGAATAGACATGTGTTCAAGGAATAGGTTTACATTTTCAGCCCACACAGCCACAAGCAACACTACTGTCTGAAGGTGAGTGGCCCATCTGAGCCATCAGTGTAGGATCTCATCAGAACAGGGACCCATGTGAGAGGAAAGGAGATATGATAGTGGGTCCTGATCATGAAATCTACTGGTAACATCATATGCAATCCCACCCAGAAGCTGCCACTTGATAGAGTGTGGGGAATAGTCTTTTTTCTTAAAGCCATAGTTTACATCTTAAATCAAAGATATTTATATAAAACCATGTCTTCGATAGAAGAACAAAAGATTGGTCCAGGAATTAAGGGGCAGAAACAAACAACAGTTTTGTTTACTATTATTCCCATTGGGGTAATGTGTGTCTCTATCACTACGTTTCTGGGCTTTTAAAGCTTATAAGTCTTGGTGCCTTAAAGAAGAATATTTCTGCCAGAGGACAAAAAGTCTAGGGTTGCTACACAGACATTTCAACCTCCTTCTATCCAGCAGTCAGCAAACAAGAAGATGAATCACCATCTTATCAAAACTAAGTGAATCTCATCAGCAGCAGGAGAAAATGCTGTTGTTAAACAATGGTGGAATATTATTGACACCTACACGACCCATTTGGGGTCTGCTTAAAACCCTCTTTCCTAATTTTATAGAAAATAGACAATTCTCAAGCAACCCCAGCCATAAAAGAGCATCGTGGTCAGAGTGAAAGAGTTGCTATCTGGGGCTTTAAGAATTTGGAATGACTGGTAGGGGAGGGAGACAAGGAGTCGCAGAATAGTTTCAGCTGTGAAAATTTTAGTTCACATCACTAACCTTCCTCTTCTGAGTCTTCTTTGGAAAAAGAAGGGTGCCACCTTGGAGGAGCTGCTGTTCAGACACAGGTGGAGTTGATTGATGACCACTACAGGAAGCATGGCAGGAGACAGAGGATGCACTTCTCGCTTCAAGGAAGAACCTGTCTCAGTTACTGAGAGGCAGGAGCTGTCGGTCAGGCCTGGGTCACTCATGCTGCAGGCAACTGATCATTGCATAGTTTTAAAGTTCTGGTCCTTCTGACTCATAGAAAAATAATTCTGATGGGTTTAGAAGAGGTCACCTTTGGGTCAACTCAACTTGTTTATCTGCCCAACCCTGCCTTTTCCTACTGTCTTCTATTAGGAATTGATTCCAAGGCTATCCCTTAGTAGACCCCCTTGCCAAAATGAAACTGAGTCTGAATCCCTAGTAGTTATCTACTAATTCAACTGGAAAATCATTTAATTCCAATAACTGGTTGACTTTGTTCATCCATTTCATGGAATAAAAATAAAACCCTTAGAAATTCACTTATTATTTTGTAAATTCTATTGTAAATTCAGATAAGTTCACCAACAAAGACAAAGTTGTTTAATGGGTCAAGTATGAACAAAAATTTTGGTGGGGTATTGTCTCATTGTTAAGATAATATCATTATTCAATTAAAAACACATGATACAAAAAAGCTATGAAAAATCTGCCAGGCTGATGAGTTGTGAGCATGTATGGTAGGTAGGCTAGTGAGGGAATATGGGTACTTCTGTCAGCTGATTACTTTTGATCATAGGGAATTTTCTGTTATCAACTGTATGATTACATAACAACAAAAGACCAGATATAAAACAAAATCAGTGGAGTTTTAGTAAGCAGAGGTTGCTAGAATTCCAATATGTAAAAAGTTCTTCCTGTTCATTCATTTTCCAGATACCCCATATTTTTAAAGGAGTATCATTCTCCATGGAACATGAGTCACTTAAATTATGGAATGGTGCTGTTCAAAATTAGCTGCTGCAAATGAGTATGTGCTAAGCAAATGAGTGATACCATTGATGTAAAGCTGTTCACACGAATAATAAATACTACTGATGAGAAAAAAAACATGATACATAGATATACTTGCAAACTCTTGTAGTGTAATGTTAATTTAGGAGTTGTCAGTTTGTGTCTTGTAAAAGGCCAGATAGCAAATATTTTACTCTCTGCCGGCCACAAGATCTTTGTCACAACTACTGAACCATGCTGTTTATTGCAAAAGTACTCATAGATATTCCATAAACAAAAAGCATGGCTGTGCTCCAATAGATCGATATCTACAGAAACAGGTAGTATTCCAAACTTGGCCAGAGGATGACAGCTTGCCAACTCCGACCCTAATTCATCAGCATCCAAATGAGCTCTCAAATTTATCAATCAAAATGGAACGTATGCCTAAAATATAGAGTATATTTGTACAAAGCCAGTTAGAGTGTTGAAATTGCATTTTTAACAAATGAAACTGATACCTAATACAAAAAGTATAATAGCATGTCTCAAAGTATTCTCTCTTTGTGGACAATATCAATTATATTTCCTAAGTGCATATCTGAATAACTACTTAACTAATTAACTTGTGCTCTGCAGTGATACTAAACCTATTCCAGACTTCTCTGAACTTTGACAATATTTTTTTCAAACTTAGAAATTTTAATGAACATGGTCAGATATGGAGTGCCAGCACTTTCAGTATTTGAAGCTATGAGCATTTTACAATCATTACAAAGGAGCTTATAAGCATTAAACACTGAAGTTTTTCCTCGCAAGCAAGAGAGGACCTGAATAAAATGTTTGAGCTCAACCTACAAGGTACAGTTTTAAAGTTCAGAAATTGTAACTCTAAATGTCTTCTCTTGTGAAACGAATTCTTTGATGGAGCTCCTATTTTATCTAGGTTATGCCTATTTTGGATCAATATGTAATGAAACTGAGGTTTAGGATTTCATACTTGTAAATTTTATAAAACATTCACATGAATCATAAATAGTGACAGATAACTTCATATATTTCAGCTTGTGAGAATATGTACTTACTGAAAAAAGATACTCTAAATGGAGAACAAAAATAGTATCCATGAAAAGAGAACAGAGAATTTTCCTCATTGAACAGAATTTTTTTTCTGAGCTTATTAAGTAGCAAAGCACGAATAGCATTATTTTGTCTCAGTCAAATCTATGAGTGTTAGAGCAAAAAGCCAGAGTATCAAATACCAGAAAATACCAGTGTATCAAATTTATTCATCCTAAAATGCAAATTTGAAGAAGACTGCAGGAAGTTAAAAATAAAATAATCACACCATAGGGAAAAATTACAATCTGCAGAAAATTACAAGATTATATTATTAAAAATAGACATAGCTAAGAAACTGATTAAAGTGAAGGAGCATGTATAAAAACCAATTCGTCTGTTTGCAGTCTGCTGGTAAGATAATCACTGAAGTTTTCTTGCTTTTTTAACATTTTATTGTAGAAAAAAAATTTTCTTAAAACAAGTTTGATAAAACCTATTTTATAGGCTAGTTAGAATAGCAAACTATTTTTTCAGTTAATATATATTAAAATTATATGGTTATTAGATGATTTTAATGCTTCTCCTTTTTAAAGTCAAAACTGTCCTGTTTGTAATTTATATTGTCCTTGTGATATTGGTCAGCAAAATGAAAGGATTTTTTTTTTTAGA